TTAGTTAGCGATAATTAGTATGTGAAGGACTTTTTCTATTACTATAATAGACTACAATAATATTAGAATAATTTGATTAAGTATTAAAGAAATAGTTAAATATTACTTTGCCTTTACCTTTATCGTTATTAATTATAACGGAAATGGGTTCTACGAAATTTAATTGTTTTAAAATAACGAACGCGTCTATAATTTTACGATAATTATTGGAGATATTGTCTTTAAAGTAACCGACGTCGGTATTAAAGTCATCGATTTAAAGATTGTATTCTCTAATAGCTTTAATATTCTTCGTAAATTATTTATATATTTATTTTTTAAATTAATATATATTACTATTAAATACTCCTAACTCTTTTTTAATCAAAACGGCCTTAACGTTTATATACTTCTAAATCTTCTTATAAATGATACGCTTAGGTACGAAGTTATTATTACTTTCGTTAGAGCTATCATTCTCGTTGGAATTGTCGTTGCGGCTAAGAGTAATAGTATCGTAATTATCGCGAAAGGAAATGCGCTTTTAAAGAGAAGTTATAAGAGCGAATATTTTGGGAGGGTTAATCGATAATTTCCTCGAGGGGAAAAGCGTATTAGCGATTATTAAAAGGATATTACTAACGAAGCCGGGCTTGGACGCGTTATTAAATAATAGTACGTTATTAAATAATGACGTATTATTAATTTAAGAGGAGATTTCAGTAATATTACGAATTTAAGGAGCGTTGTGAAATTAAGGGAGTATATTAAATTAATTATTTGAGCGGTCGACGTTATAAGTAGTAGGAATAGATCCTTTGCGCGGCGAATACCGTACGACAATCTAATTCGAAAGGGGGTCGGCTATAATAATAAAAAATTAGATAGTCGAAAAAAGGTATTAGTGTAAGTTTATTTATCCGCGATTACGGTATAATAAGTAATAGGATTGAGGTAATAAAAGAGGGAAATGAATAGGAAATTATTTTTATTAATATTATTTTGCGATAAACGATTAATAAATATAGTAGGGAGAGAGAGAGATAATGGTTACCGATTTTATAATAAGCGAATTCGTTAGGGTTACCCTTCGTATTGAGGATTAAAAAAAGTTCGGATTGGAGTAGTACGAATATTCTAATATATTCGTTCGATGCGAGCTGATATGAATAAGAGGATATAATATAAAGAAGTGTGGAGAAAGGGAATAAATCTATAATATTATTTTACGATAATAATTATAGATTTACTAGGGGGAGGTGAGTATAATCGCGAGGTCGATATTGTTATAGTATAAAATTTTACGATTGGGGTAGTAAATTCGCGATAAATCAACGAATTTACCGAATTAATTAACGACCTAACTATTAAACTTAGGCGCGATTAAGGAATAGTTCTAGTTACTATTCGTATAATTGCAACTACTATTTAATAGGGTAATTTAGAAGCTTCTAAATATTATAATACTAATAATATATAATATTGTAGTATTAAAAGTAAAGAAGAAGATATTAGAGGAAGAAAAGCGTAGCCAAAGGCCGCGCCACGTAGGAATCCCTTTATAGGAATTCCTTTATCTTATCGCTAGCCTACTTTATAGAGAGCTACGTAACCGGTAGGCATATGCCTACTAGAGCTTCTAACAGAGATGGGTATAGCAATCGCTATACCTAATTTATTTAATTAATTAATTGAGCTAATTATATATGTGATGCCATGGTCCTGTATTATATAGTTTAAGAATTAATAACAGTCACGACGAACGTTTAATTACAGCTACCACTTAATACGAGGATAGAAGAAATAATACACTCAATACAACAATTTAACAGAGTGAAGCCATATTAGTATACATAAGGTAGTAAAGTAAAAGAAGGATGATGTTAAAGGACGGAGGAGGCTGTCCCAGCCAGCCGTCTGCACAGAAAGGATATACTGGACGAGAGTAGGGTACTAGCTACAGGGTAGCTAGAGCTCTAGGCAACGGCTAGGCATAGAAGCCTCCATAACAGCCCAACTAATCTAGGCTGTTATTACTAGTCTAAGCTATAATACAGGAAAGGTAGGGTAATCTGGAAATTACCCTATCACTCAAATAGGCTTACTTATTCTTGAAATTATATAAAAGAGTTATATAAATAAACTTAATCAATAATATTAAAAATACTATACTAAGTATTATAAGATTCAATTTAGTACTATAATTTTTCATAGTATAAATAAATGCTATAGAACTATCCCATATACAAAATATTGTATACTATAGAAATTCCCATACAAAACTATATTACTAGGTATCGCTATAATTTTTTATATTTACGTAACACTCTGGAATTTACCATATAAATGCTATTTTACATCAAAATAACGTGCTAAGGATTGAAATATTGGGGCCTCTATAAGGGTTGGGGCCTCTGTAGCCAAAGGCTGGGGCCGCCGGAGCAATTGCCGCAAGTTTCGTGGGTTGCGGCTCTGCGAAGGAAAGGCATGGGTTCTGATGTCTCAGATATGGTGCAGGGTCCCTATCAGAGTGTAGATCCTTCGAGGAAGACCGGCATCAGAAGTCGCATGTCGTCAACATTGGCGGAGGTGGCGATGTGAACAACGGATTAGCACCAACATTTAACACCAAAGACCTGGATCAACATGGGATCGCGGGTGTACAAGACGAGCTTTAACGGCTCAGATGCTTGGAGGGGATCCAGAAGGGATGAACAGCAACCTTTAAGTCTAAGTTTAAGGTTGATCCTATCACACGCTATGTCATAATGGACAGCACATCCCCCAATTATTGAGGATCTTCGGGAATTCCTTGTGGAAGATCCGCCCATCACCAAGGAGATAAGCTCCTGCATTCATCTTGCAACATCTCTTATTTCCGGCTCCAAGATAACCTTACCTTTGCCCCAACGTGGATCAACAAGAACAGGATGATGGAGCCCCCCGCGTTGAAAATGATCGGATGTGACGGGACGATCTGGTACAGACAGCTGCGGTACTCGCAGGTATCGTGAAAATTCTCACGGTGGAATTTCACCTACGAATCGGCTTTTCCCATGCGATTTTCGCGGTCCGTACCCAAAACCAATGAACCTCGCAAGGGATGCTACAAGGCAATGACATGGGATTTCCCGAAGGAATGCGGAGCTTGTGGCTGGCTGGAAAAAGGAGAGTGACTGATGAGTGAAAGCTACCGGATCCTGGCAAAACTCGATATCATGGGCTATGATCCACACTGGACATCAGGTCTCAGCTTTTACTGCACTACCATAGCTACAGTCTAGTCAAGTCCACTGCTTTCCTCTCTATCAGTCTAATAATTCTCATTTTGGGCACCATCATGTCCATCACGGTGTATAAGGTACCATACACGTGGTATCACATCACGCTTCGACATGTCGACATCATCGGAACGGGATCCTCTCTAGCAGAGTCAACAAACATTTCGCACACAGATCCCGGACCACAGGTGCTTTGAGTTACGTCAATGCATTATTATGCTTCCTTCCTCCTACGAAGACCAGCAAGCAAGTTGATGCATATGGTTCTACTAGGTACGATATATCCGTAAGTGATGTTGCCTTTCTCTTAGCACCGGTTCCCCCTTACTTCAGCATTTGGGCTAAAATGACCGCCTATTCAAAAGGGAACCGTCCATGCCCCTTTGTATTGCACAACATTACTCTTCACACTTGACCCAGACATTCAAAGAAATACAGTATTGCTCTAAAATCTGTCGGCAACAGTCTTGAGCTCAACGCTATACCCCAACTGTCCAACGATAGAACTCCAGGGTAAACCTGATCCAGTCTTCTACACCCCGGGCACCCACAGCCATGCTCCTGCTCCGCCATTGTATTAGGACAGCCAGTTAACCGATACATTCGCGCTAAGACTTGGCGACTGTTATTATGCAAAACACATGAAATTGAATCTGAAAATAACTGGGCGAGTTGACCAGAGGTCTCGAGCTACCTACCCAACTTTCCAGAGGTGTACTGTGCTCCGTTTCGAGTTTCCTGCTTCAACAACTTCAGGCGCTATATAAATGTAGCTCGCAAGTTAACTAGCGACATCTTGGAAGCTCTGTGGCAGCTCTCCTTACGTCACATGGTGCCGTTTCTTATGGCATTTCCAAGCTAGGATGACCTGCCGCCCCTTGGTTGTGGAAATGGTTGTCGTTTGGTATAGCCAAGTGTTTGGTAACATAGCTTCGACCGGCCGGCGTCTTAATAACAGTTCCTGAGTTCCTGTGACTGCGGCATCGTTGATGGGCTTTCTTGGTCTCTAGAGGATCAATGCCATGCAAAATTTTGAGCCGGTGATGACAGTCTTCCGTTTGCCAGGCGGCAGGCAGTGTAGTAGGGCTGCCGTGCCCTTGAGGTATTGTCATTCGAGTGCCCCACGTGGAGGCTCTGCCGTTGCTCGTCTCAGTGGGTCTACGGTTCTACCTTTGAGTGTTCAAGTTCTGTTGGGTCTGACTGTTGGGTCTGTCCCGTCTCGGAGTGTCTTGTTAGGAATGAGTTCCCCAGTTCCCACTCGTCCCGTGCCTGCTTCGGTTGTTGTGTCAACGGCAGGGACACCACTGGAGGTCCATTGAAGCAACTGGGAGCTGATAGCTAGGTGGATATCAAGGAACTCTCTCCCGGTACTCCAGAGCAGTAAGTGGATGCCCGTAGCTTCGAGAAGTTGCTGCTGAGATAGGACTGAATGGTGGCGTCGATGTAGGAGGAAGTGGAATGAAGTTTGAGAAGAGGTCACAGCTCTGGACTGCTCTAGACTGCCGGCCCGGAGATTCCCAGGGACCATTTGTGAGGGCCGCTGTCTCTAGGGGTTCTGGGGTCCAAGAAGTGCGGGGAACATTGTGAGGCTAAAGCGATCAACAACTTTAATTTGTGGATACCATTGAGGACAGACAGCCAATCAGATTCATGCATGTGCGACATTACGGACGGTCCGCGTCAAGGTAATTCCAAAATTTCCATTCACCTGCCTTAGCAGGGACCGTGCCAAATGCCTGCCGTTGTCCGCGCATTTTGTTAGCTGCGCTGAGGTATTGGTTCCCGTGCGTGACGTGCAATTTCTTTCCACCGACCAGACGCGCAACAACTGAGGTGTCTGGACAAGTCCTTCGGGTTCAATATTTCAAACCTCGAACCAACCTTTACCAATCCCTTTTTTTTCGGCAGCCCAGCCTCAGCATCCAGTCTCGCATTTTTCGACCTCACGGACAGACAAGCAACCATGCCGAGGCCTATCGAGGCGGACGTGCACAGCGCGTTCATGGAATTCCGCAACGCAGGTATTTTCACCCTCCCCATTACGCCATCCTTACCGCCATCCTTACCGCGATCCTTACCAATGGCGCGTTGTTACATCTTACATTTGGTACTATCGGTGACAGTACCATACAATGATGATCAAGGCTGACTCGTCTCTGGATGGCTCCACCAAGCAGACGAAAAGTGCATGTCAGTCCAGTGCCTCTTCTGCCACCAAGTCCGCGCGAAGAACACGACCAGGCAGAAGCAGCATCTCGCCCAATGCACTCAGTACCTCGCCCAGCACCCCGAGGCCGCTGCTGCCATCAAGTCTTCTCTTGAACAGCATGCGCAGGGTCATGATGGCTCCGCCCACGTCTCCCACGTCTCGGCCGGCCACGGCGGCGTCTCTCATGGTCCCGCCGGTCACGGTCACGGTCACGGTTCCGGCCAGGACAACGGCGGTAACAACGCCAACCTGAACGCCGGCAACCAGCTTCAGAACCAGCACTCGGCCGCCGCTAATGCCGGCGCGACCAGCGTCTATCCCGAGCCCACCTCCCTTGATCCGCACCAGCACACCAACCTGGGCTTCACCCCGAATGCGCGCATCAACGGCACCAGCACCCCCCATGGCACCGGCACTCCCATCCCTCAGCACATTCGTCCCATGTCCGGTGCATCGAGCGCTCCTCCCGCCAAGCGTCAGAAGACCAAGCAGACCAACCCCAACTTGCCCGAGATCCCTCTTGCTGAGGTCCATGCGGCCTTCGTCGAGTTCCAGGCCAAGGAGGGTGACAAGTGCTTGTCCGCTAAGTGCATCTACTGCAACCAAGTGCGTGCGAAGAACACGTCTCGCCAGCGCGAGCATCTGCTCCAGTGCCCTGGCTACCAGGCCACCATGAAGGATAGGATCCCGGCCAACAACCTTCTCCACCACTTCGACGATGACGATGTCGCCGCCTCGCTCGCTCTGCCCACTCCCACTCTCGAGCTCGACTTCCGCATGAGCATCCGGGTCAAGCCCAAGATCAACATTGGCAACGGCACCTACGGCCGTCAGAGTTGGATCTCTTGCATTGGTGGCCAATGGGCTGGTCGCTGGGGCAAGGGCAATGTCCTGGTACGTACTGCCATCCATTGACTGGGCCAGCTTGTCTATGACATACATATGCTAACATCCTTTGCTTTCACAGGCCAACGGTCAAGATACTCAGACCTCTTTTAAGGAAACAGAGACGAAGATCGATGCCCGTTACCTGATCCAGACCAACGACGACCACCCCGCCCTGATCATCTGCAAGGTTGAGGGCTGGTGGGTCGGCGAGAAGGAGATCATGGAGCGTCTCCAAGACCCGGTCGCCGCAGACAACGTTGCCGCTAACCGCTACAAGTTGCGCGTCACTATCAAGCTGGAGACCGGCGACGAGCGCTATGAGGAGCTCAACAGCGGTGTCTGGGTCGGCAGTGGTTGCCGCCGCGGCGCCGAGATCGTCTACGACGCCTACCGCGTCAACTGATTGGGACCGGGGAGGACGGAGGAGGACTGACGAGAGGAGTGCGTTGATGTAATGCCCCTACTGCGAAAAGTCATGATGGATCAACCGAGGCAGGCCACTCGGTTTGAACGACTTTGAGCGATCACCTTCTAATGCTTCTGTAAATGTTTATTACGGCGGTATGACGTCCCGAACAATGTTACCCACTGAGACTAGAGTTACGCTTGGTCATGTTTCTTTACGTGACTGACAAGCTGCTTGTCCAGTCAGTGACTGGCATGTCTCAGCATACAGATAGTCAAGCCATGCGTCTTGAATCACTCCTTTATGATGCCCCCTGATATTCATGCGTGTTTTCGTTCTTTGCTGTTCTTTCTATACTTGCCTCTTGCTGTTCTTCTCCTGTTCGCCATTTGTTCTTCCTTTTATCATGTACACCCCAGCGGTCTCTGACCATTCAAGGCCAGCCAGTTAGGCGGTAGATGATACTCATTTGCTCGCGAGACCGATGTAGTTGTCGGCCTTCTATCTCAGCACACTGCCCTTCTCTAGCTTGTGATGGCCAGCTGACGGTTAACTAATGTAACCCTTGATCCAATCAGTGGTACTGGGCTTGCTGTCGGTTCACTGCATATATTAACAGACAACCTTTGCCGCGCTTTTTACGCCTGTCACCGACTCGTTTCCGTGCCCTCGGGCCAGTACCCTCAGCACGTCAACCCGGCTCCAGGGACGGAGGACAACTGGGTTCTTGGTGACATAGTACCGTCAGCCTGGGAATGTCGTGCAGATGATGTTACCCTTCTGGTCAACTTTTCAGGCCAGATCAGTACCGGTTGTGGATACATTCGGCATATTTCAACACCATCGAGTCCGGCACCTGGATCATTGCTCGTTTCTTTTTCTAGTCGACCCAGCCATCGTCGGTATTGTCAGCTTTACGAAGCAACATCAGCCGCACCAGTTCTCATCGACTCCCAATCGCAGTCGTCCATCGCTTGTCCTGACTGCCACATTATTGCCTAACACATCCAACTCAACCACGATTGTTGGGGTCATCAGTCTCTGACGAGAGACATCTGGTTACCATATACGGCGGCAAGCTCAACATCTTCCCCAAGGAAGGGCTACGTTGAAGTCTCAATCATACCCTGCCTCGATCTCACCGAACCGTTGGGAGTGGTCGACCTCTTACCATTGTGATCGTCATCTTCGTTATGTTACGCACCATCGAATACCTTTACGTCACTGTCGCGTACCGAAATTTACACACTTTACTATCCAGGAGGCACAGATACAGTATTCGCCGAACATAGCCCTCCGCCGTTGGGGTCGTCAACTTCTGTCTGCTGGGCTACGGCGCCGTATCATGGGATCAGGTCACCGGAGACCAATTCCTTGATCTGCTTCTCGTATGGACAACGAGAGGAGATCTGACGAGTGACGGAAAGTCGCACGCAACCTGGTAGCCCTACGTTGATTGTTTATAAAGTGCACAATATCGAACCGTCGCCATGGATTGGAAACGCGCAGGTTCGCATATTGCGAGCCCTACAAAGTCCCGTCTTTCATACGTTAGTACCGCCATGCTGGCCGTCGCATTATCCGCTATTCTTTACGCTCTGCTCATTAGCAACTCCCTTGCTGAACTTGGACGGGGGAGCCTACGTCAACGACAAAGCCCAAAATGCGCCGCCAGTTCCTTTACGAATGTGGTCAACCTCCCTGGAGTCACCGTCACCATCGAGAAAGCCGTGTCGATCTCGGAACGTGGCTCTTATGCGGAATCAGGAAACCAGGGCTTCCCGCAAACGATTGACTTGCTGCCGGCACTATGTGCCGTGACAGTCAGAGTTACCAACACCTCCGATGTCCCCATAAAACCCCAGTCCAGCTACCGGATCGGCTTATTCCTCCCCACAACGACAAATTGGAACTCGACGATTCTCACCGTAGGCAGCGCCTCGTTTGCTGGTGGTATCAACTGGCCGGGAATGAGCGAAGGGACACACTACGGCTTCGCGACCATATCAACAGACAACGGCCATAATTCGGCGGGGAGTGATCTTTCCTGGGCAACACCAGCGCGGCTCTACGACTGGGGCTACCGAGCGCTACACGGCTCAGTCCTAGTCGGCAAGCTGCTCGTCGCCCATTACTACAGCAACTCACCAACCTACTCCTACTACGCAGGATGCTCGACCGGAGGCCGCCAAGGATTGAGAGAAATCCAGTACGATACCAACAGCTTCGACGGCGCTCTCATCGGAGCCCCAGCCTGGGACACCATGCACCTCATGCCGTGGATCTCCAAGATCGCCGCCCAACAACTCAACACCACCGCAAACGGCAGACTACGGGCTACGCAGCTTTCTATCCTCGCCACCGAAGTCCTGCGTCAGTGCGATGCCCAAGACGGTGTCAAGGACAACATCATCAGCCAACCCGACCAATGTCGTTTCGACATCTCCAAGATCATCTGCTCCGACCCGTCCCGCTGCCTCACCCGCGCGCAAGCCGACACCGCCGGCAAGATCTATGGCGAATACATCATCAACAGCGGAAATGGTCGAAACCGGACAGTCTACAACGGCTTCACCCTCAGCTCCGAAGACCAATGGTCCGTCTACTTCGGTTCCGACGCCGCCCTCTCCGACTTCGACTTCAGCTACGAGCGCTACTGGCTCTACAACCTCACTTCCACCCAACCCCCCTACACCTGGCAACAATACTCGGACCAAGTCGTGCTAGACTCGGAACGAATAAACGCCGGTCAAGCAACCGCCAACCAGTTCGACGCCCTCTCCTCTTACCGAAATCGCGGTGGGAAAATCATCATGTACCACGGCCTCGCCGACGGACTCATCTCTCCCAAGACTTCACTAGCCTACTACAACGCCACCATTTCTTCTATGAACACTTCAGAAGCACGAGAAATCCGCTCCTGGTTCCGCTACTTCCAAGTCCCCGGCATGCAACACTGCTACTTCAGCAACCGATTCAACGCGCCCTGGGACTTTGGCGCCCCGGGGCAGGCCTCGCAGCTGCGTATGTTGCCGGCGTTGGGGACAAACCTAAAAGCGTTTGGCGATGGGTGGTCGGTCCCCGGGCATCTGGGTGATGAGAGGTATGATATGCTGGCGGCGTTGGTGAAGTGGGTGGAGGAGGGCAGGGAGGTCGAGCAGGTGGTTGCTACGGCGTTTAAGGAGGATTTGAGTGAAGGGGTTTATAGGACGAGGCCGGTTTGTGCGTGGCCTGGACGGGCGGTTTGGGATGGGAGGGGGGATGTGGATGTGGCGGGGAGTTGGAGGTGTGTTTGAGGTGAGTTTGGGCGGTCTCGTCATATCGGGTGTCGGGGAAGTCAGTTCTGGGAGCTGTGGAAGAAGGGGATCTGTGTTGGTGGTTGAGCTTCTTTGTTGTATATGGCTTTCGGTATTGTGGTTTAATTTCGATCCCATCTCTCTGATTTGAGTCTTTGCCACCGGCATTTACTACCGCGTGCACCACCCTTTCTAATACGTGCACCAGCAGCAGAGTCGATATAAACTGTCAAGTGGGCAGTATTCTAGAGCTCCGTAGATGCCTCCTATTCTGGTATGTATCCATAATCAGTGTGCTTCCCTTATGATCTTACCGATACCATGAATGCCGCTGACCGCCATAACAGTCTTTAGATCAGTGACCACCGGTGAATAGCCTAGTGTTGTATGTTCCATTTTGTCTCGCATCATTCGGATGAAGGGGTCGTGAGTGAAGGAACTACCGCGTAAATACGGCCCAGTGCAGGTGGATAAGCACCATCCGTCATATAGGAACGCGTCGATACATCTGTGCAGTGAAGGCACGGGCTTGCTCCTCTAAGGGAGTGATAATATTTCCTAGGTGTAGTTGTAGTGGAGGGTACGAGATGGTGCATGGAATAGGGTAAACAGTTCCAAGCCTAAAGTCGAGGCTACCTAGAGTTTATTAGTTGTGCTAGGCATGAGTAATAGACTTTCTCATTGACCCGATGCCAATGAGTACACCTCTATAGAGAGATTACGAACAATTATATAATATTAAACAAACAAAAACACCAAGTGGCTATCACATCAAGAAATGGTCCATACCACTGGTCCTCCCCTCTCAGCCACTACCGTTGGCTTCCACGTACGAGCCCAACTAACCAAGGCACGGGAAGGTTTTGGCCAGCAGAACGGCACGAATGATATCCCTCTGGACCAAGCTGCCTAGAAAGTAAGGAATCTCGAGCGTGTCGTGCCCACCGCTGGAGGTAAGGGGTCCACGGATCCCAACATCACCGGAACCTCCCCGCGCTGCAATACTCAAAGAAACACCTGTCGCCGAACCGGTCGATCCCTCGTCGGATAATCCCTCGTAGAGCGCCGGGGAAATGGACGCCTTCTTGCCATTCGGTGAGCATCCCCAAGATCATCGACCTGCTTGGTGGGTTGCGTTCTTTGCAACTTAACCGAACCGCAGGAAGTGCAGCGAGAGGCCGATCCATCTACCCGGCGCAATGACATGCCTCGAATGTCTTGCCAATAGACCTGGTCCGGCACGCAGACGAATCATGTATGGAATCCTCCACGCAGGCGGCTAGGAAGAAGGCCTGAGAAAGAGGAGAAGGCTTAACAGGAAGGGGTGGGAGGACAGAAGGAGAAAATTGAGAAGCTGATGCTGGGCGTGGACTTGGAAAGAAAGAAATGTATGAAAGGTTGGATGCGAGGTCGTAGCTGATAAAGTCTATGAGAGACTCAATATACCGTGTTTGTGCAATGAATGTGCTGTGGGAATTTATCAATTTAGTGTTTCTTTGTAAAAATACGTCGTGAAGATGATTTTGCTAAGACTAGAAGTGTCAGTGACAGCCGTCACTGGATAAAAGGGTGGCAATTAGTACCTACGGTACGGTAAAGAGCCTAGTATTCTTATTGTCCTATTCTAGGAAGGCGCCCTAAGTGAAGGAACTACCGAGTGAATTTGACTCAGTTAATTGGCACCTTCCGTCGGATAGGAAGGCGTTGATGGGGAAGGTTCGGCTTGCTCCTGTGCTGGATTTTTTTTTTTTTTTTAAATGTCTCAAGCCATCGCCTTCCCTCCCGCTGCGGTCAAGGTTACCTGTCTTTTGACAGTTGAGTCCTAGAGGTACGCGATGGAGAATACTACCTCTACTAACCAATATCACCTAGCTACCAAAACTTCAGCCGCGCTACAGGGCGTGTTTGGTTCAACCAATAAAATTTCAATCTGTTTTTAATAGTGGTAGAGGAGGGTACAAAGCGCCATCTGCAGGAACCGATAGGGATTTTGTACTATTTATCTTTCTTTTATTTTTATTTTTTATTAAATGGTGGCGCCTATATATGCTTAGTAGCGCTGGTAAGCGAAGTTATATGTTGGGGTGTAGATCATTATTGAGATCCTTTATAAAATGCCTTGTCTTTCATACTATGAGACTATAATTACCGTAACGAGTTCAATTTTAAAGATATTCACAAATAGAAATATCCTTCTAGTAGTTAGGAAGCCGTTCTATAAGATTATATAATGTTTACGTAATTCCTATATTGGGTAGTAGCGGTTATTGATTGTGAAGGTTTAAAGGGTAAAAGGGGGGATATAAATAATAATTTACTATAATAATAGTTAGAATTGAATAAATTATAATAATAGTATTTTTGAATGTATAAAAGCTATTATTAATAATAATAATAATAGCGAGTCGATATAAATCGAAGATTTCTAGTCAATTGAATGCCTAATCGAATACTCAATCGAATAGAATAGAATTAAATTAGTTAAATATAAATATAAGTATTAATTCTATAATTTTATTAATTAAAATCCTTTATTTTTAATACATTCATCTCCTCCTTCTATTATTTATTACCTACTATTTGTTTATAAATTGCTAGCTTCGTTAATAACGACGTCAATAACGAAGTATTTAGTTTGAATAAGTTCGTTTATAACGGCCGCTGTAATTATATCACAGGGCTAGCCTGTAATGTGGTTGCACTGCACTAACTGCATATGTGCTATACCAAAGCTGGTACTATGGCCCAGAGCCATGCACTCACGCACTAGTCACATGCTCTAATTACGTATAGCCTCACGTACGCGCGTACGGTCTAGCCTGCTAGGCTCTCGCCTATATAACCAATCCTCTACGCACACTTCTCTTTCTCTTCTTCGTATAATAACGTATATTTTACCCTACCCCCAACATTATCCTTTCGGTCCGTAATAATTTATTATATTTAACTTTTGCATTGTACGCATTTATTTAAGGGAAGAAAGATTGTAATAAATCTTTAATCGTTACGACGTCATTAATTTAATATTACCGATTCGAATTAATTAAAGTTTAATATTAGAGCGATTAAGACCCCACGTCGCAATCCTCGGCCTCGAGCTAAGTAACTATTAAATTAAATATTATTATTATATAATTTATACTTTTTTAATTTTTTTCCCTTCTATTTGCCCAACGTATTAATTTAGCGATTAATATCTAATATTATTTTGTACGCTCCCCCGGTAATTAATATTTTTTTTTGCTATTATTATAGTTAGCGCCTTCGTTAATTTAGACCCGGCTAATTAGGAATATTATTTTAATATTACTTAAGCCTTCGAATCTTTTAATAATTAAACGTTTTAGGTCGATATTATTACCGAATATATATTTAACTTTATTTAATTTCCCGTTTTTTAAATGATTTTTAAGGCCTTCGACCGCCTCTTCTACAATAATATTATTATAGCTTATATTTAAGTATAAGAGGTATAAGAGAAGTTCGAAACTTCCGAAATTAAATTTACTATTACGTTATACAATATTAAGCGTTACAATAGTAACATCGCTACGATTTAGATTTTAGCCCTCCTTTATACGTAGGAGGTAATTAAGAATTACGATAAGGTTATTAACGACCTTTATAATAATTACACTAATAAATTTATAATTATTTACAATATTTATTTTAGCGCCGTTAGCGCCCTTAATAACGATATTATTGCTTTGAGATAAGAGTTCGCCGATTTTTGCGCGAATTTTAAAAAGATATATAAGAAGTAATACGATAAGTATTTAAAGTACGTTAACGATTTTTATTAATATTTTATCGCCGCTTTTAAGGCTGAGCCCGTTTTCGAACCCGCTATCCCGCCCCCCGAGGATTTTAGTGACGATAAGGACTTTGAGATAATGATTTCTAACGACGATAGTGGTTATAGGTCGGTGTTGTATATTATTATATTTCCCGCTTTCGATAGTAAAGGTATTTCTATCGAGTGTATTACTAAGTATTACGCTTGGCGCCTCCGTATTTAGTTAGTTTGGGTTAATGAGTTAAAGATTTTTATTAACGAACGTACTAACTTTTTATTAATTATCCGCTTTATTAAGGGCCTTCTTTTTAAAGCTATTGAGATTGAGTTTAATAAGGTCCTTACCGGCGAACCCGCTAAATAGAATATAGTCTTCGAATTATTCGAAGAGTTCGATAAAAAGTATAATAATATTAATATTATTATACACTTTCGCTACGAATTGGAAGAATTGAAGATAAATAAAAGAATAAAGTAGTAAAATTGCGAAGAAAAGTTTACCTTCCTTATTAATTGTTGCGGTTTCGATAATAGTATAAAGGTTTATTACCTTTATTAGAAGATTAGCGACTGTATTTATATTACTTTCATTTATTAAAGCGATTAGTCCATTAATAATAAGTATGAGGAGTAGTTTATTAAGGTTTATAGTTTAATTAAGAATTTGCAGGATAAAGATTAGTATAAGAAGAACTTTAATCCTTTCTATAAAATCAATATTATTATTACTATTAATATTAGCACTTTTATTCCCGAAGCTAATATTAATTAGGACGGTAATATTATAGACTTTAACGCTATATCCGCTTCCGATTTTTAATTCTCTTATATAATTAATAATAAGGTTTTTAAATTTCGTATAAAGAATAGGATATATATTCATTACGCTAAGAAAGGTTATTTTTCGGCCGAATACTATTTTCGTATTAATCTTAAGAAAGAAGATAGTTTTCTAATTATAATAAGAATAAGAATAAGAATAAAAATAGTAGTAATAATAATAATAATAGTAGTAGTAACGGCGGTTAGTAATTTGCCTAGGGTTAATATAGCTACAGTTAGTAGCATCCTTATAACGGCGGCAGTTATTAAGTTAATACTATAAGTACCGCTTCCTCTATAGGTATACTGATAGGCGCTTTAATTCCTAATACCCCCAGCCCTGGCAGTCATTACTATTCGGTCCTTATATACTAGCCCGGTT